TCTGGATTGAGTTGTGGTTGCTTTAGGAAGACCACAGCCAAGAACCACCCACATTGCCATAAAACTGACATTGTAATTTAAGTAAGAAATACATAGGCCCACAGTAGAAAATAAATGCTTTACTCAAGAGCTGAATCAAAGGGGTCCTATTTCTGGATGGAAAACATAATATGGTAAGATGTCATTCTATCTAAATTAAAATGTACATTTAGAACATTTCCATTAGCATCCTAATCGATTACATTTCCATTGTAGGTGCCAGTTGATTCTGAAGCTCATCTGGATAATAAATGTAGAGGAGTAATCAAATGGTATAAAATACAGTGTAATAAAAAAGGGACTTAGATATTAATATCGCTTATAAAGCCAAAATAATTAGATGAGCATAGTCTTGGCAGAAGACAGAGGGATTAGTGGAAGCGATTCTAGAATCCAAAACGGCATTAGAAAGGTGCTGAGAAACGCGGCTTATACACAAGTATACACGGTAGGTATTTTTCTGAATCCTAATGACAGACAGTGAGCTGTCTGAGATCCGCTGTGGTACAGCGGTTCCACCTGTTCTTAGGGCACTGCCCAGGCCTAATCTGTGAATGACAAAGCCTGGACCAAACCCTGATGGGAAAGTGCTTGAGCACTGTGGGAAGAGTCATTGAGCGTACCTGCCCTTACTCAGAGCATCTTACCTCCAAGCCTGATTACCAGATAGTTGCAAGGAAGTTGTGAGTAGAATGTCCCAGTTGAATCTTGGAACATCTAGAGAATACGGGGTTAGGAAGCAGGGCTGGAAAGAGCACCGGCCACCCTGGACAAGTAAGCAGAGTGGTTAGTCGCTCAGAGATCACCTTTGCTCTTTCAGGTCAATGGCACAGACTTCACCTTCCGAAGTGCAGGTGTCTTCCTCCTGATCGTGGATGCCTGCAGCGTTCCGTTCCGGTTGACGGGGAAAAAGACGTTCGCTCTTGCCGACGCCAGTCGCATGAAAGAGTATTTAGAAGGGATCCCTCCCAGGTGGGTGAAGCTCGCGCTGCAACAGCAACGGGCCGCTTCCCAGGTCACCATCAAGGAAGCGAAGGCTGTGGTTTGGTTCACGTGGAGTCTGCCAGAAAGGAGGCGCCTGGCTAATTTCTAAGCACAGGGTTTTCTACCCAGTATTGCATAATTGCTGGGCATCTAGAGCTTCCCTCAGCTCATATCAGGGTCAGTGTGGTCTTGAGTGGCTGGTTGGGGTAATAATCCCTTGTAGGAGAATGAATATCAGACGAGTCTCAAGGAATTGGAGATAAATAACGCCCCCCCCACGTTAAACACTTCCAAGATGCTGTCTCCTGTGAGTGCCTCCTCTCACGTCTCTGGGTTCCGTGAGTCCCTGCTAAAAAGCCCTCATGAAACTTGAAGGAAATGTCTCATGGGGTGGCGGGTACTGTCAGTCCAAAATACAAATGTCACGAAGAGATGAGCAACAGGCAGCATCCAGAGTCCGAAGCCAAATGTGTCCACATGTCACAGCATGTCTTCCACTAAAGCGCAGTCAGGAAACAGGCCGGGCATTCCTGCCGAAGCACCGGGCATTAGAACTATATGGTGGTGCTATTAGATATCCAGGAAAAACAAAGGAAGTGGTTTGTTCACACCCTCTTCTAACTAACCGTCTTTGAGATGCCTTCCAAGAGATAAAGGATATGGCTTGATTCACACCCTCTACCAAGGTTAGGTCTTAACCACACCCTATTCCTGCCCATTAGTAGATACAGTGAACCCTCGTTTATCGCGGTTAATCAGTTCTAGACCCTACCGTGATAAATGAAATTCCGCGAAGTAGGATTCCTTATTTGTAAATCAAATATTTTCATAGTTAGAGCATAGAGGACATGAAAAAACACCCTTTAGTCACCATTATACTCGTGTTACCCAATTTATTAAATGAAAAAGGGAAAATACAGTAAAACATTTTGGACGTTACAATGATCATTTATTATTTATTATATTATTTATGGCATCAAGCGTGTACCGTATGAGCCAATCAGTGGCAGTAATGGCAGAGCATGCGCTGTTACGCAAAAACCGTGATAGAGTGAAGCCGCGGAAGTCGAAGCGCGAAGTGGCGAGGGTTCACTGTACTGCCTTCCAAAGTGGGGCCACAGCCAGAGGCATCTAAAGTTCCAGAAGTAAACTATCACATAATGAATATTGGCTAGAAGGGCTATATTCCTTGACACTACAGTCCCTCATCATGGATTTTTTGGAAAGCAAACCAGTTGCTGTTGGAATCCACTCATAGCCACCTCTGTGTGTCCGTCAAAGCCAGAGCTGTGCCAATGGCTAGTTTCTCAGAAGTGGATTTCCTGGCCTTTCTTCCACCATGCCTCTGAATGTGCTTGGACGCCAATCTTTTTGGTGAACAGCTGCGCTGGGTTAACTCTTTGTGTCACCTATGTTTGACTCCGTGATCATGACTATGCAACTGCTTATCAATGGTAAACACTTAGATATTTGCATCCATTTAAAAGTGATATTAATTTGTCATGCCAAGTGGGAGAGCCAATGGAAGAGCAGATTAATTGCTGATACGCAAGTTGATGTTGATGCTGAAGAAAGTTAAAGCAAGTTCACAAAAGCAGAAATACCACCTTGTGTGTTTCTCACCTGGATTTAGAGAGCATCTCAAGAACAGGTTTGACACATTGAACACTAGTGACCGGAGACTGATAACATTAAGGATATCAATACCCGAAAGAAAGCAAAATGGTCATTGCCAAGGTCAACAAACTACAATACCCAAAGGATGTCAAAGAGACTCAGAAACTTGCTCTTGGACAGAGTAGCTAGAGAAAATAGAACAAATGATGGAGTAAAAGAGCGGAAGATTTCAAAATGTGGGGATGAAGATCTCACCTATAAATAATCTCATGAGACTCGATTGAGCAACTGATCCACCAAGGAATGTTAGAGCTGCAATGTGGCCAAGGTCAGACTTCTCTTCCGAGTCTGGATTGAGTTGTGGTTGCTTTAGGAAGACCACAGCCAAGAACCACCCACATTGCCATAAAACTGACATTGTAATTTAAGTAAGAAATACATAGGCCCACAGTAGAAAATAAATGCTTTACTCAAGAGCTGAATCAAAGGGGTCCTATTTCTGGATGGAAAACATAATATGGTAAGATGTCATTCTATCTAAATTAAAATGTACATTTAGAACATTTCCATTAGCATCCTAATCGATTACATTTCCATTGTAGGTGCCAGTTGATTCTGAAGCTCATCTGGATAATAAATGTAGAGGAGTAATCAAATGGTATAAAATACAGTGTAATAAAAAAGGGACTTAGATATTAATATCGCTTATAAAGCCAAAATAATTAGATGAGCATAGTCTTGGCAGAAGACAGAGGGATTAGTGGAAGCGATTCTAGAATCCAAGGAGAGATCAGATTTATTTATCCAATAAATCTGGATGCACAGATTTCCTGCCATGACAGTGAGTTTGGGAGGCACTGTGTAATACACATGGTTAAGCACCCAGTTAGTAACTTAACGGCATGATTGGGGATTGCGATCTACCCTTCAGCCCCTCGGAAGAAAGGCCTGGTGATCTGTTTCTGAAAGGTCAGAGTCTTGAAAAACAACAACCCAACCACCTTGCAACCTAGGGGGTTGCCGTGAGCGGAGCCAACTTGATGGCCATTGGCTCCTTCTTTGGCTTTGCCCTCATTTCAGAGTAGTGCTCCAGAAAGACGTGCTGAATTTCTGTGTGATGTCTTCAATATTCCATTCCAGGTCAATTGTTCTGCTGAGCACAAGGGGAGAAATAAAGCAGTTGAATATCTCCGAGTCATTGGTACCTCTGGGATTAGTCAAACCAGCTCATCTTTATAACAAAGGTTTGTACGTGTAATCTTGTATACATCCCGTCTGAACCCATTAGCCCCTGCATTTTTATGTTGGACGGTAGCTGCCACACCATTCTCAGGAGCGTGTGTGGCTGGAACGGGTTGTATTCGGATCGTTTTTAAAGAAGAGGACAGCCGTAGAGGAAGTGTGCTGGGATGTGGTTTGCTATTTGGGGCCAGAGGTGGGCGGTCAGAGTTCATCTGCTGACGTCAGGGAGTGTAGCTGTCTCTGTTATGCTCACCGTCTGCATGATCGTGCCCGGAAATAGTAACTACACATTGAACCGTGCTGTTTTTCTTTTTTTCTAAAGGGAGTACCGTATTTTTGGGATTCAGCGGAAACTTTAAACCTTCCTGGACTAAGCTATTCACCAGTCCCGCTGGGGAGGGCCTTGGGCTGCTGGAACAGTTCGTGCCCCTGCAGCTGAGCGAGTACGGCTGTCATGGAGTCCCCGCTGTCCACAGACAGGACCTGGAACTGCTGAAGCGAGCTGCGAAAGCACGCTGAGACAGACTCACTGTACCTGAAGGGCTGGGAAGGAACAAACAATGTGAACTAACTTATTTAATTTATGACGTGTAAAATCGACACTGTTCACCCTATGGAACCATTTTCCTGCTTGATACAGAGAGGGGGAAGGAACGAAACAAAACAGCACCCTTCAAAGGGAGTGCTCGCGTCCCAGCTCCGCACCTGGTAGTACAGAATGTTCCAGGGGTCCTTGTTCCACCCTCCCCCCCTTAGGGTTTTGTAGTGACCTGAAGCAGTGTTTCGCTTATTTGTATGGTGGGCTGGTGGGGTGGGGGGGCGGGAGGAGCTTCTGAGCATCCGCCTGAGCTCTTAGGGGACCAGTTGTTGTAGCACCTTGGATACTTGAAGCCTCAACTCCCTGGTGTCGTGTGGTGATTGACATGGTGGCTGGTGTGTTCCATGATGCCTTGGCCCTGTTTCCGGGCAGCTTTTTAGGATTTTTCTATGTCGCCCAGATGACAAAGTGGCAACTCAGGCCCAACTCATGTCCTTTTTGCCTGGACATGTGCTTGCTTTTTTAAATACTCATTCATCTGTTAATGACTTTTACTTGTTTGGCTCTGCAAACAGCCAAGTACATTGGGACAAAAGGTCTTTTGGTGGTCAGCCATCCTTTAGCCCCATGACGCCTGGGCCCACGATGGTTGGAGGCTGTTGGGATGATTCTGCAGCTTCAGGCCCCAGCCTTTTCCATCCGTGCATTTGCGTGTGAGAGGCAGAGCAGAGGTGAATATTTGCCTTTTGAAAAAGACTCGCCCTCACTGGAACCTTGTGTCACTTCCCTCGCACAGTAGAAGTCTGTTCTCAGCTCTGCTCCCAAACCTGGATTTGTTGTTGTTTTTGTGGATTTTTTTTTTAATGGCTTTTCTGCTCACGATCCTGCCAGGAAAATCGCAAAGAGCTTCATGATGCCACAAAATGATTGTATTCAGGGGCTGGGGGTGGGGAGGTGGATGGGGGGCACGGGAGCAGTTTGAAGGGCCAGAGTCCTGGGCATGTCCAGAAATGGCACATTTCCTAGTCTTGGAGGAATACAGACTCCATTACGCCCTGTTTTCCTCTCCCACTGGCTGCCAGGCTCTCCTGCCTGCGAGGATGGCACGGGGCAAAAGGAAATGACTCCACATCCTGGGGGGGGGGGGTTTGCCACCCCCAGAGGGGAAATGCACCAACATGCCATCCCAGTCTCCTCCCTCACCATGCACAAAGTGTAGTGCAGGCATGGCACAGGCAGACAGTAGGGAATGTTTGGGGGCAAAAGGGCTTTTCGCGGTCCCCAATCCTTTTCACCCCTGAGTAGAGGCAAATTCACTTTCCTCTACCCAGGGTCAAGGTCGGCGGCCTGCACGTCTGACTCTCGGAGAAGCTGCACGCAGCTCTGTGGCTTCTGTTCTCCACAATATATGCTACCTCAACTACTACCAGTAAACCTTTCTAACTGTAAGTGCTCTTGCTCAGGGCACCGGTCTTTATCGAAGTTTAGTTGGTGGGTTCTTGTTTGTTTGTGTGTTTTTGTACATTGATGAATGAGATCTCACTTATTAAATATATTATTGGATCATGGTTCCTGAAGGTGATTAAAGTTTGTATATGTGTGTAGGTGGGTTTTGTGTTTTTTTTTTTATTGCTTTAATTTTTTTCCGGGTGGTTTTTTAGAGTGGTTCTTCAGAGATTTGGAAAAGGATGTTTAAGTTCTGAGGCACTCTGCCTTTGCTGATTCTTTATACTCATCATCAGGGCCTAAGTGAAATCAAAATGGGTGTGCATGATTTTACATATCTGTGTCAATCAATCAACCTACCGATCGCTCCATCTTTTTAGCATCAAATTTTTCAGCTGCAATGGCATTATGGATAGAAGTGAAGAAACACTCCAGTAAGTAGATTGTGTCACGCTAAGAGTGAAAGGAGGAGGGCCTATATTCTCCAATGGGTGGTTTTCAATGCTGGTTGCAACCCGCCCCTCCCCTCCACCCCCACCTTCTCACGCTCCTCCTCATCCCTAGCACTCTCCCTGTCAGATCCTTAATTATGGGAAGTGCTTTACAGTAGGACCAGGCATTGGATTAAAAAAAAAATTAAGTCCAGTGCTTAATCTAAGCTATAACTAAAAACGGAAAAAAAAAAAAAGGAATTACATTGATTGTTTTCCTCTGAGATTCTTGTGTTACTGTCAGAATTCCCAATCCTAAAGAAGCATTACTCTTTTGTTTCCTTTAAATAAATATATCACCTATACACATGACTATGTACTATATATAGATGTTAACTATAGGTACAAAATTTGCCCTTTTAACCACTTTTAAGTACCTAGTTTAATGATAGGAGTTACAGTCACCATCTTCCACAATTACCACCCCTCGTTATTAAGAAGCCCAGGTGGTGCAGGGGCTGCAAGCTACAAGGTCATCAGCCCAAGGACATCAGCCACTCAGAGCCGCCTGCCACTGGCAAGATTTACGGTCTCAAGACGGGAGGGGTGGGCAAGATTCCAGTCTCAGTGGAGCAGTTCTGTTCTGCTCTACTCTGTGAGTCTGAATCAGTTATGGTTTTTGTTTTTTTCCCCCAATCCTTTTCGAAAACTTTGTTACTCCCAGAAGAAAATCTGTTCCCCTTAAGCAATAGCTCTCCTTTTCTCCCCTCAGTCTGTGGTAACCCCACACTTAAGCCTCTGGGCAATTCCCTGGGCTGTATGCTTCATAAAAGTAGAATTATATCATTGTCCTCTTAGGCCTGATATATTTCAGTCAGCATAATGTGCTCAAGGTTCATGTAACCTCTACCGGAACTTCATTTCTCTTTATGACTAGCAAAACTTACTGCCAGTTAGTCAATTCCAAATCATAGTGACCCTATCAAGATAGGGTTTCTAAAACTGGAAATCTTTATGTGAGAGGCTGCCTCATCTTTCTCCTGATCATAGCTGGGACCTTTGAACCACCGACTTCGTGGTTAGCAGCTAACCACCTATACTACCAGGGCACTTTGCCCTTGAATAGAAGGTTTCGATACAGTTTTAGTTTGTAGTCCTCCCCAAAGTTACCTTAAGTCAAACTCCGCCAATTCCAAATCATAGTGACCCTATCAAGATAGGGTTTCTAAAACTGGAAATCTTTATGTGAGTGGCTGCCTCATCTTTCTCCTGATCATAGCTGGGACCTTTGAACCACCGACTTCGTGGTTAGCAGCTAACCACCTATACTACCAGGGCACTTTGCCTTTGAATAGAAGGTTTCGATACAGTTTTAGTTTGTAGTCCTCCCCAAAGTTACCTTAAGTCATAAGTCAAACTCCGCCGTTGTTGCTTCCGGCTCATAGCAATCTTATAGGACAGAATAGAGCAGCCTCTTTAGGTTTCCAAGACTTCTCAATTATAGAAGCCAAAAGCCTCATCCTTCTCCCTCCAAGTGACTGGTAGGTTTGAACTTCTGAACGCCTGGTTAACAGCTCCATGTGCAGCCCACTACGCCACCGGGGCTCCTCTCCAAAGTTAGATTGGTTCTGTACATCTCAGGCAAGTGGAAGCTAACGCTCTCCCAGCTCTAAAATCTACTCCAGGTGACTTGGACCTCTGTAAGCATATTCCATCAGGTGAGGCCGTTGAACTTCAGCAAAGCAATCGTCCACAAATCAGTTGGCTGATGAGAAACACAAGGGCCTTCATATGTTACCCGACTTAGGCTTTCAGACTTTGCTGTAAGATTCCTGCCTCCACCTGAGCCAGCATACATACATTATCAGTGGAAGTTGAAAGAGGGGGCCTGCTGGCAGATGAAAGACAGACGCACCGTCTTGTGGCATATAACGCCGAAGCCGCTGCGGAGCTCATGTTTAGACTCTGGGGTTTGGGAGGCCCCTCTTCTCAACTTCAGGTGAGCCCTCATCTTCCTGCCATTTTTTTAGAGGGTGGTGGGGATGGACAGAGATCTGAACCTTTCAGACCACTAGGCTTTCATTCCTTAATTAAGAGGTGAGGTAATGTGCGAATGAGTCCTTTGAAAGGCATTTCGATTGGGAAAGCACTTGTGATTTTCAGTGTGGTTTTGGTTTTATGTTTTAGTTCTTCCCGGTGAGGTAACTGCTTAGATTCCATAACGATGACGATTGTTGATTCTGTGATATAGAATCGCAGATTATCTCCAAGAGTTCTTGTTTGGGCTTTCCGGTACTGATTAAACCAGGTTTAATAAAGTGAGACATTCCTGGGGGATGAAGACTGTCAAGGAGTGAAATTGGGTGACAGGTTTGTCTAATTGCGGCTGATCCTGGTCATCATCCAATGTGCTACAAATATAGCAGACGCTGGATGGAGGTAGTTTTCAACAAGTGATTGGGGAAGCACAGACTGCCCCAACAAGGAAAGCTACCCACCGGGCCCCTCTCCTCTCACAGACACCCAGAGACTCCACACCTTGTAGGCTCTCTTGAGGCATGTGGAAGGCAAATCGCTTTTCATTGCCCTTACGCACGAGAGAGAAATCAAAAGGACAAATACTCTTTGATTTTTTTATATGATAAAATTGAGAGAGTGACAGACTAGGACTAGGAGGGTTGATTTTAAAATGAACTGTGCCCCACAGGGAGTCCATAAGTAACTGTGAGAGCAAGCTGTGAAGGTTTAATATCTGAAAACACAGAAAAGGACAGGTCGGAAAAATATTTTCATGGATTTGGAGTTTTTTTCCTCCCAAGAAGGACATTGTTATGTCCCCCCAAATATGTATCTCATGGGCTAGGCCATGATCCCCAGTGTTGTGTGGTTGTCTTCCATTCCGGGATGTGCTGTGAATCCTGACCCCTCTTTATGTTCATGGGGCTGCTTCCGTGCGGGGTGAATCAGTCTGACCCCAAAGTGTGACTCTCATCACACCCTCCCTGAAGTTATGCCGTTGCTGGAGTCACAGGGTTTGTAAGATGAAAGGAGAAAGAGGTAAGCAAAGCAGAGGTGTGCCTCACTGTTACCATGAAAGAAGAGCTGGGAGCAGAGTCCTTTGAACCCAGAGTCACAGTGCTGAGAACCTCCTCAACCCACAGAAAGACACATGGAGATCTCTGATTATGCCAGGCCAGCAGGCGTTCAGAGACGACAAAGACTTCCCTCTAGAATGGATGAAGAAAGCCACAGCCTTTCCCCCACCCCTCCCAAAATTGCGGGGAGGGGGAGGGGAATGCAGATATCATATCGTTCCATAACGTCAAGCAGT